ACAGGACATCTCCCAGATAGATATGAAAAGTGATGACTTCATTTCTGTTTTTCTCTTTGTGACCCAACTCACCCATAAGATGCCAATGCTCAGCTATCCTAAGCCCCTCAAACATTTAGAGCATGGATTTACTCTTTTTAGTTGATTGAGCAAAGATTATAATTTTTAAAAAATATATATTTTATTGATTTTTTTACAGAGAGGAAGGGAGAGAGATAGAGAGCTAGAAACGTTGATGAGAGAGAAACATCGACCAGCTGCCTCTTGCACACCCCCTATTGGGTATGTGCCCGCAACCAATGTACATGCCCTTGACCAGAATCGAACCTGGGACCTTTCAGTCCACAGACCGACGCTCTACCACTGAGCCAAACGGTTTTGGCAGATTATAATTTTTAAATCCCTGGCTGGCTAAGATACATTCCAGTAGTAGTGGCATTTATCTTATGACTGAGTCATGGATAATAAAACCTCTTTTTGGGGTAGATAATAGGGGAGATAAAAAGGTAATTTCCAGAAAGTGACAGAGGTAGGTTTTCTAGCCTTTTTTCTGGCTCAGTCTACTTTTCATGGTTTATTTAGAAACTAGAGGCCTGATGCACGAAATTTGTGCACAGGGGTGGGGTGTCCCTCAGCCCAGCCTGAGCCCTCTTGCAATCCAGGACCCCTTGGGAGAAGTCTGTAATCCTGGACCCCTCACTCCTAACTGCCCACCTGCTCACTCCTTATCGCTTGGCCTCACCACTCCTTAGTGCTGCCATAGAGGCAGGTGAGGTTCCGGCCAAGGCCTCTGTGCTCACCAGCTGTGAGCCCGGCTTTTGGCTGAGCAATGCTCCAGCTGTGGGAGCGCACTGACCACCAGGGGGCAGCTCCTGTATTGAGCATCTGCCCCCTGGTGGTCAGTGTGTATCATCGTGACGAGTCATTCTCATTGTTCTGGGCTTTTATTATATAGATGGTTGTGAAGTAGGAATTTTGGGGGAGAACGAAGAAATGATGTGAAGGTTGTGGGAGTTAGGGAGGGAATGGCCCAAAGTGATGACAATTCCAAAGGAGAGTTGAAGTCCCCAGGGCTGTGAGAGCAGAAATCTGCCAGGACCAGCAGTAGAGGCAGAAGCAGTATCTGTGGAATCTGCGACAGTGCATTCATTTTGCTTGATTCGCAGCAAACCAGCTAAGAGAATTCACCGAACCGTTAGGACAGATGGTTTCTGGGTAGCAGGATGTTTCCTTGTCTTATTTCTTCAAGAACAAACTGTGTCTTTGAAAACACTAACATCATCACATAGGATTCTAATTGAGTCTTGTTGTCTTTGGGAAGGAGCATGTTTACTTTAAGCCACGTTTCAAACTTTCAATGTGGCCCAAATTGTTGTGTCCCAATTTAATGGATCTTGACCAGCATATTTTAGTGGAATGTAATAGAAAAATGTGAGTGCATCTCATATATGTAGCTTTGTGACATTTTTTTGTTTCAGTTGTAAGTATGTACAAGAGTATGTATGTGCTGGGTTGTGATGGAAAAAGTCATTCTTAGTGTGGATCAAGCTCTAAAAGGGAGAAATATATTGCTGTAGGCAACTTGAAAAAGAAACAGAGGGATTGATTGTGGTGTGTAATTAGCAGAGTGAGCAAACACTGCTCATCTTTTGTTGTTGTTAATCCTCACCTGAGGATATTTTTCCATTGATTTTTAGAGAGAGTAGAAGGGAAGGGGGGAGACAGAGAAAAACATCAATGTCAGAGAGACACATCAATTGGTTGCCTCCCACATGCACCCCAACGAGGGCAGGGGATCAAGCCTGTAACCAAGGTACATGCCTTTGACCCGAATCGAACCCGGGAGCTCTTCAGTCCATGGGCCAAGGCTCTTACCCACCTACCAGCCCGGCTAGGGCTGCTTACCTTTCTTTTATTGGTTCACATGCATGTGTGCATATGGGTACATGTGCACATGTGTAAGTGCAAGTGTTTATGTGCATGTATATACATGTGAGTGAGTGTGCATGTGTGTGAAATGATTCTGCCATGATGTTTAGGCCACTGAATTTTCTGCTAAGAATAAGGAATTATATGATTCAGAAGTTTAAGGAGACATTGCTTAGCATGATAATTTCAGAAAATCTGCTGGGGAAATCGATGATTTCACATCAAGACTCTTGAGATGTAAGAGGTGCGCCTCTGACCATTGAATTAAAATTGTAGATACGACCTTGAATCTTAAGCCGGTCAACTCTACAATAGGTAGGAGCATAATTTTGCATGATTTATCGGGTCTAGTAATAATTAATGTCGTTTTTAAACATTCGTTTAAAATCTTGCTTGGCGTTGACTTGTTTTGACATAACCTTCAAACACGTGGTATCTACAGAACGTGTGAAGTGCAATTAACAAGTTTTGCTTGAAAAAGTTTGTGTTTGGTTTGGTTTTTGTTGCAAAACTAGGGCTAAGAAGATGGCGGATGAAGAGCATATTCGGCACTGCATGCTTTACGAGTTCCAATTAGGAAGAAAAGCAAGTGAGGCTGCAAAAAACATCTGTAGTGCTCTTGGTCAAGATGCAGTTAGCGCCAGAAAATGCCAGCGTTGGTTTGAGAAATTTCGCGAGGGAAATTTTTCATTAGATGACAAGAGTGGTCGAGGCCGTGTGTGCAATTTTGATCAAGAAGCTCTTCAAGCTCTTTTGGTGCAAAATCCTCAAATTACCCAACAAGAGCTTGCAACAACTTTAAATTGTTCACAAAAAACAATTTCCAATCAATTGGGTGCACTTGGCAAAGTCCAAAAGCTTGGAAAATGGGTTCCTCATGAGTTGACCAACAACAACCATAATCAAAGAGTCACAATTTGCAGTTCGCTCCTCTCTCGTCAAAACCGTTTGCCGTTTTTAGAGCAAATTGTTACCTAAGATGAAGAATGGGTGCTGTATGTTAATTTGAAAAGGCGGCCTCAATGGTTGGACAAAAATGAGGCTCCGCAGCCCATGCCAAAACCTGACTTGCATGCGGAAAAAGTGATGTTGTGTGTTTGGTGGAATTTTAAAGGAATTCTTCATTATGAACTTTTACCATCTAACCAAACCATTACAAGTGCAGTGTATAGTGCCCAATTGGAAAGGTTAGCCCAAGCTTTAAGAGAAAAAGAACCCGCGCTGATTAATCGGAAGGGCGTAATTCTTCACCACGATAATCGGAAGGGCGTAATTCTTCACCACGATAACGCACGACCACATACTGCAAGAATCACTGCTGAAAAACTGCGCCAGTTGGAATGGGAAGTTCTTCCTCAACCTGCTTATTCTCCTGATATTGCCCCTTCCGATTACTATTTGTTTCATTCTTTGCAAAACTTTCTTCTTGGAAAAAAATTTAATAATGAAGAATGCCTCAAAAATGCATTGACCGAATTTTTTGCATCAAAATCACAAGAATTTTACAACAGAGGGATTAAAATGCTTCCTGAGTATTGGGCACAAGTAGTAGAAAACAATGGCAACTATATTGTTGATTAAATTTTGTTGTATTGTTTAAATAAATTCGATTTAAAAAAGTATTAGAAAACGACATTAATTATTACTAGACCTAATATATTATGAAGCTAAAGTGTCAACTGAGTTACTTATGGTGCTTGGCTCTTCAGGGGGCAAATTTCCTGAATATATTTCTCTAATGGGTTCCTAGGAACTCACCAATATTTCCTTAGGTTTCCGAACAAAATGAAAACCGTTGCTGCCTTACCTTTTCCTATCAGCCTTAAAGTTCCTGATGAAAGAGCAGCCACACCTCAGGGATGCCAGGGAAGTCCTTCCGTAGGGAGATGAGACACCATGATGCAGAGAAACTCAGAGACATTATTACCTCTTAGAACATTTATTAATACTTGTAAGGTGGAAAAAAAAAAAAAAAGAGACAGTGATGTAAAATGACAGGCATCTTCTTCATCAGAGGTCTGCTTTGCAGCCCAGGATGGCCTCGGCATCATGTTCTACAAGACTGAGGGCTTGGGCTCCATCACATCCCATGTAGAGCAAGTACCTGATCTTCAGTAATACAAGATGCTCTGGCTAGTTGTTGTAAGTGCACACTGTTGGCCATAGGAGGCTTGGCTATCAGCCATTCCAAGGAAACAGATCACCACCACCTCCACCAGCACCGAACAACCCCGAGCACACACACTCCTGATGCTTTGTACAGAATGCCAGGCAACTCGTAACAGTTGGCCTGAGGGTGAACCCACGCAAGAGGCACATGACTGGCAGAGGGCCACAAAACTGACTCCAGGAAGAGAGAGAGCAGCAGGGATACTCCATTCTAAGGAACTAGAGCACATGTGTCAAACACAAGGCCCGTGGGCCAAATCCGTCCCGCCAGGCCTTGCAATGTGGCCCGCACCGCGCTGTCATCACTGCACTCCGCTGCGTTTCCATCACAATGACAGTTTATGACTGTTCAGTAAACCATTCGGCCCGCAATTTAGGCTGGATTTTAGATTTTGGCCCCTTCTCTGATTGAGTTCGACACCCCTAAACTAGAGCATGTTCAGACGAAGTGGGGGACTGCTAACCACTCACTTCCTACCAGATCTGCCAGGCTCTTTGCCTGACATGGTTCTTCAGGTGCAAATGTTAGGTTGACCTTGCCATGTCTTCTGACACTGATAGGGGCTTATCTTATGCTGTGGGTTGCTAATTCTTCCCAAACCTGGGTTTTCTGGGACTAACTGTTTATTCAGCAGGGACCTATAAAAGTCTGTTTTTACTTGATGGGTGGAAATGAACCCACAGCATCTTTCATCATACATCTAATGCCCTGGAAAGAACACAGCATCAAGCCAGGCAGACAAGGTGCTTTGAGACCTCAGTACCCTGTACAGTGCCAGGCACACAGGGGCACTTAAGTGTTCATTGAACGGATACACGAGTGATGACTGGTCTGGGGGGTCGAGGTCACAGTAGTGTTTCTTCTACAATGCTGTGGGACTCTGAAACCACACACATCTGCCTCACCTGTTAGCAACAGCATTTACATTTTCTTTGTCAATGTTACACTTGAATTTGATTCACATATTAGAAGTTATGGACCATTATAAATATCTTGGATTTCCTCTCTGAGTACCTTTTTTCTGGCCAAATCTTCATAGTAAATAGATGTTAAGCCACGCTGTGCTATCCCCAACTTGCCTGCAAAGATTTACTAATATGAAATGGAATCATCTTATCCAAGTTACAAAAAATAAAAATAAAAAATTACACAATCGTTTTGCTGTAGACACAAACGTAAGATGGTATTATTCACAATCGTTTTAACCTGGTTCAGTTCTCAATTCCACTGCTCCTCGAACCTTCACAAATTGTCATTTTTTCTTCCATTCCCCATATGACGGAATTGTTTTTCAATTAATAATCCCTTCCATTCCTTATAAAACATGAGCTAACACTCGCATCAGTTTCCATTCACAATTGCCACATCGTTGCTTAAGAAATTTCCATTTTTCAAAGAAAAATGTCTAACAGCACGGTGGGAAATAAAGGAAAACCTCACTTTACAGGTAAATGGAGTATAAGTGGTAGATAACTGAGTAGCTTATACATCATATCCTATTATTATTGTCATTCTCAATGGCTGGATGCTAATCAGTTTAACTGCCTTTGCGCTATATATTTTTAAATGTGATTAAAACATACAGTCTCACAGTAAATTTAAATGGCTTATTAAAGGCATTAACAGGGCAATGGTATCATATGTCAAAGATGAATGGTGTTTCTAATTTGCTAGCCACTTGGGTCAGGTTTACTTTAAGCAGGAAGCATATTTATACAAGTAATGGTCACACAAATGGTCTCTTGGGAAAAGCTGTTGGTGCGGGTTTAACATTTTTGAAGGATGCTTTTGTTTATCTTCTAAATGGGCATTTTATAGGCAATGGGCCAAAGCGCCTGAAATACCTGCTCCTTCACCACTGTGCCGATGAGCCTGAATGCTGCAGTGTTTTTAAGGATGAGGAGAGGGGGCCGGGTTGGGAAGGTGGAGCCACCTTCATTTGACTGACATTCTTCCAGGACCACAACTCAACGTATGGTGGGCGTCTGCAGCAGCATCGACGCACCTGGAGCTTGTTAGAAATGCCAAAACCGCACCTCAGTCCCAATCAACCAGAATCTACATTCAAACAAGCTCCCCCATACGGTGTGTGAGCACTGGCCTGGGACCCCAAAGCCTCTGCCTCCAGGTGGCCAAGCACACCTCCTGGCATCCCTTTCTCTTTCTTTCTCACTTCTAGAATCATCCTCTTCAGAGGACAACCACCCCTCGACCCCGTTTCCCTTTCTTTCTCATCACTTCCACACCCACTCCGAGGACCCAAATGAATTTTCCAACATCTGATGCCCTTGAATCAAGAACCCACTTCTCCTGCTGGCCAACTGATATCCCCCAGAGGCTCCCTGTCACCTAATCACCTTCGGAAAGTCAGGGCTTCGTCAGGGCTTTCAAGGCGCCGCGTTCATTGGCTTTCCCGTGCCTGAGCCCCCATCCTTCATCGATTCTGCACTGAGATCCCTTCCTCCTCAGCCGCCCACCAGCACGCAGTCTTCCCTTGCCAGTGTAATCCCTCCCGTTCTCTTGAAAGGACTTCTTCATCCCTGTTTCTACTCGAGGGGCGCTGCCATCCTCTAACCTAGCCAGCAGCTGCTCTCTAATATTCGTGGGGGATCGAAAGGGTGGAAGGGAGCCCTGCCCGCTGTTTGAGGGAACTGCTGCGGACAGGGTTTACTCGGTGGACGGAACCGGATGCAGCTACCAAAGGACCTGCTCGGCAGCCCCCTGAACACACTTCTTTTGGCCCCACCTTTGCCTTGAGAGGCTCAGCCTGCAGCAGGTGCCCAGAGGCCAGTGGACCTCCAAACCAGACCCAGCCTGGCCAGCCAATTGGCCCCTAAAAGCAATTTGGTCCCCCCTGTTCCAAACTGGTTGGGGGTAAAGGGCTCTGCAGGAAAATGAACGGGGCATTTTAGAAGCGCGTTGCTTACAATGTCAGGCTCTGTGGGCCAGGAGGGGTTAGCGCAGCCAATGGTCAAGGGAACAATCTGGGGTCAGCCGGCGAGGACCCCTTCAGGCTCCTCTGGAGTGGTCAGCGCCCAGAGCAGACCGCTTTAATCAGAGGAGACCGGCAGGGGGAGAAACAAGATTGCTTTCTGGCCATAGTGAGTCCGAGGACCGCGCTTGCAGCTTCCGTTCTTCTTGAGCCCGACGAACCAATTCTTCTCCGCGTGCTTCTTGGACGCGTAGGTGTTGTAATGGTTCTCCTCCAGCCTTTCCAGGAACAGGCATTCCTCGCTGGGCGTTTGCTACAAAGATGCAACCGAAAGAGAGGAGGATGGTTAGGGAGTGGTTCTAGGCAGGGTTCCTCTGCTTAACGCTGTGTGCCCTTGGGCAAATTACCCAGGCTCTCTGGGCCTCTGGTTCTTCTGCAGAAACATTGGGGTAATAATGGAGCCGATCTCTGGGGATGGTAATGAGGACTTAAGACAGGACCCAGCACCTAAAGAGCCTTCAGTGCACACCTGCTGTTATTGGAAGATCCCCTGCCATTCGTTGTCCTCAGGACCCTATAGTCTGCCCCTGGGGAGATCCTGAATGGCTGTAGGCACCCCAAGTGGGAAGGGGGCTGGGCTTTTGTCTCTGTAGAGGCCTGGCACCTAGATAGGCATGGCCATGAAAAATGTCCCAAACAGGTAAAAGCAGATGTCGATGCAGTGAGGGCTGTTAAGTTTGAACTTAAAGAACAACTGAAAGACCACTAATATTATTTTCATCCTGGTGATTTTCATTAACCATAGCAGGATAGTACCTTAGTGTTGTGAAGACCATCAATACTTGCACAAAATGTGTCCTAAGCCCCAAATCTATCCTGAGACCTAAAGTGTGTGTGTGTGTGTGTGTGTGTGTGTGTGTGTTTTAATGAAAATAGCTTTATCTTCTAATATTTATGAAAAGAATTGTACTTTTTAAAACTTAAAATTTTACTTAAGGGGAGGTGGAAGGGAAGAGATCAACCAATGAACCCATATGCGTATATGCAGAACCCATGGACACAGACAGTGGGGTGGTGAAGGCCTGGGGTGGGAGTGGGACAGGATGGGAGAGATCAACGTGGGGGGAAGCGGGACATATGTAATACTTCCAACAATAAAGATTTTAAAAGTTTTGTTTGTTTGTTTGTTTGTTTTTTAGTTAAAAGAAAAGAAAAAAAAAGAAAAAAACGGCCCAAAGCCCGCCACCCAGATAGAGACAAGGGTTAACCGGCGATAAGCATCCTTCCTTGCGTCCTTATGTACGTCTGCACAGAGTAGATAAGGCCAGGTGGCTATAGACTTACGATGCTATCAAAATGGCACACTATGTCTGCTGTTTCAAAAACTGGCAATAAGCCTATGAAAACATTCAATCTTACCAGCAAGAAAATGCAAATTTAAAAAAATGATTTAACATGTTGGCCATGATATCTGCAAGGAGGAAAAAGACAAGTCTGAGTATTGGTGAGAGTGTAGGAAACATGCACTCGCCTGCACTGTTGGTGAGACGCATTGGTGGAGGCTTGCTGAAGGTAGTCGGACAATGTGAATCAAAGGTTTAAATATGCTCTACCTTTGACCCAGCAATTTCACTCCTCGGAACAGTTAGGAGATAGTTAGCAAGTGTAAAACTATATTTTCAAGGATGTTCATTGGATATAATGGTAACAAATTGGAAGCAACCTAAATATGCACAGAAAAGTGATTGGCTAAGTAGGTAGTAGTATATACATACTGTGGGATCCAATTCAGTTGTAAATTTATTAAGGTGGAAAAGACTTCCAAGATATTCAATAGGTCAGTTATTATCAATAATTACTTATTCACTTGGGATGCATCTGTTAGAGAGTGGGAGGAACCCTAGTTACTCGAACTTCCTATTTGTCAGTCAGGATTGTAGAAAACATTCATTATATTTGGATAGAAACCAGTTAGGTGCACTAAAACACTTATGCTGTATATCGACTAGGCGCTAATTCCGAGTCGCAGGGTCTCTATAGTATCTCTTCTCCCACAGTGGTTGGGAGCCCCTTTCTGTTGTGTAGTGTTCTCTGTTTGTGGGCATGTTTGCCTGTGAGACTGTGAGCCCTCCTGAGGGAAGAGAAAGGACCTTGTCAGCCCTCTGTCTACAGCCAGACTCAGAACCGTGCAAGTGATAGGTGCTCGCCAATGAGGTGGTGCCTTGAATGGGACTCCTGAGATCAGGTAGAGGCCTCAGAGAGGTTATTTTTGATTAGCAAGGAACTCTGTCACAGGAAGCCCGCTGCTGCTTATTCATCTGAAGTTTAGAGCAGTGACAACGGGGTGAGACACTGGATCACTTTAGAGCAAGGTATAGTTCATTGGGTGACTCTGATGCCTCTAAAGGAACTTACCCAGACATTGGTGTTTGATGCACAATGTCAGGGGTGGGAGGAGGTTGGCAGTTTGGGACCTGTGTGGGTTGCCCACTCCCCCATGTAGGGAGGACTCAGCCCATGACACCTCTCAGTGGGCATAAGGCCCCTGTTCTGTGACAAAATAGAGGACGGCCACACCCCATACCTGAGGTCTCTATTCCACCACAGCAATAGACACACACAGAAAGGCTGAGTCAGAGGCTGAGTCAGCAAGGCAAATCGGAGGTGCTGTCTCTGGCCTCTACACAGGATTTGTCAGCTCTCATGCATCTGGAGCAACGCCAAGCGCCTGGGGAGTGACAGCTGATTCATGGCAATTGTTTTTGTTATTTCCTTTTTTATATTTAGCATGTTCGCCTCCCAATTACAAAGGTGACATATACCCACTGGAGAAAATTTAGAAAACATAGGAAGGCATTCACATATTATAAAGTTAGCCTTTTACCACCTCCAGAGATAAGTGAATGAATGTTTTGGGATATAACCTCTTGAAGTTATTTTTAAAAATAAATATGTCCTTTTCACGTACACATAAATTTGTACCAAGATGGACTGATGCCAAAAATCGGTTAAGAGTATGAGGTAGAGCTCTGAGATATGTTAGAACCTGTTCTTATCAATGGGAAATATAAAAACGTTGAGGCCTCATATATTAAGATCACAGTCTGAATATCTTAGGCGAATTACAGTGATGTCCAGGATGATGGCAGCTGGAGGATAAAGGGTTTTTGGAGCCTAGAGAAAATCAGATTTGAGGAGTCTCCCCCAATATTTTTATATGAGTAAAGGAAGTTATAAACTTCAAAACATTTAATGGAGGAAAAAGCCATAAAACTAACCTATATCCTATGAAATAATGAGGGCAAGGGATGTGTAAACTGAATGTTTCATAGCCACTGTTGATGGAGCGTCTCCCATGAGCCAGCCATGCTGTGGGGTGGGTCTGTTCATTGTCATTCTGTGTTGTTGTTTTTTTATAAGTACTACAGTACTTATAAAAAACACTATATGCGGATCGGTACTGTCCATTACTGTCCTCATCTTAGACAAGGCTCAAAAAAGGAGTAATTTGCCAAAGTGGCAGAGGCATGAGATTCAATTATGAGCCTGCACGTGAATGACTGATTGGCCAATTGATTTTATTACCAATTGAAAGAACTACCTTAAAACACATATCACTTACGCCCTATGTAGCAGCCACTGCCTGGCTCCAAACCCTTTAAAGTTGTCCCACTTGGTCTGTATTTCAGTCAACAGCCTAGTAGAGGCTACCTGTAACTGTGATCGCATCTCCTGACCCCTAGTGGGGAGCATGAAAAAAGCTGAACTTCGTTCACATCCCAAATTCTGGCTGATGATAGCTTCAGAGAGGGTTTCCTGTGCCCACTGCCTCTTGACAATTCATTATGAGTTCAAGGGAGCCCCGGACTACACCCCCCACCCCCACTCCCCGATGCCTTCCTGTAGGCATGCATCTTACTAAAAAGGAAGAAAGGACTTTGGTTTGGGCTATGAGTTACAGCCAAGCCTTAATTATCAGTTGTTAAGATACAGAGAAAGGGTCATTGAAACCCAGAAATAATTTCAAGACCTGGGGCCATTGGCTTCAACTCTCTTTCTCATCATTTTTTTTTTTTTTTTTTTTTTTTTTTAACTAGAGACACCAGTAAGGAGAGAGAGAGAGAAAAAAAAAATCAGATTTCCTCTGTTTCTGTTCCTTTCTCACAAAGACCACCATTAACAGAGTCAAACCTATATAAAGCACTCACCAGAAGAGGGCTGGAGAGGGTGATGCCGAGGATGTTAGCTACTGAATAAAGTCTTTGTGCCTCTCCAAGGCAGGGATGTGGTTCATTCACCTTCACCTCCCTGTCGGTCCCTAACTGTACTTTGACACAGGAGGCATTTGATAAATGTTTGCACAATTGGGCTATTACATGTTTTATTTAGGAGACCCTTTCCGAGTGCTGTGCGTGACATGTTCACTACGAGGCTCGGGGCTCTGCAGTTCTTATAAAAAGCACAGGGGACACGCCTATCACATGTAGCGGGGACTCAAGAAAGATTTCTGGAATGCCTGAGTGAAGCGGAGCTAGGTATTCTGGGATGCGCGATGGATGACTTACCAACATTTCAATCAATGTCTCCCCTATGTGATAATACGTTTGAGTATTTTGAGAGAATACTACAAGACATTCTTTTGTTTGTGCCTAAAATAAAGGCAGGGTAGAGGGCGGGAATCCCACTGGGGAAAAAAACAAACAAACAGAGGCTAATTGTTGCTTTATAGTGTGTATCACTCAACGTGACAAGATTTCTGGAAACCTCAAACCTTGGCCGCGTCTGGGAGCGTGTCAGCCTCATACTTACTGAGCCGTACAGAAGCCCGTCGGAGTCCATGGCCAAGTACTGGCCACTCTCGGTGCTCTTTATATACACCTCCCCCACGCTCTCCGCACTGAGCTGCAGCTGAACTGGAATAAAAATAACAGGGGCAAAAGTAAATAAACACGAGGCCTCTGCCAGCAGGGCCCGGCGGCCAGGACAGTTAGCCACGGAAAATTCTGCTCATTCATTTCAGAGCCTCAAGGATGAGCCTCAGATTAATCAAAACATAGAAATACAGTTCCTTTTTCTTTGCCCTCCAAAGAAAGCTGTCCACTGGGAATCATGCTTTTGAGAGAAGGAGAGAGGGAGCCGGGGTGCCCACCCATCCCCGTTTGTTACAAAATCCCCCGGGGTGCGCTTTTCACAGAGCTTCCCTCCGTTCTCTCTCTGTGTCACCTGGAGGGAGGTAACCACGGGAGGAAGCCGCATTCACTCCCTGGGCTCCTGGTCCCAGCCATGCCGGGTGCTGTACCGTGGGCAACTGGGCAGCCTAAGTGTGTTCTGTTTTGGGGGTGTTTCTTTTTACAGCCTGGGCCTTCTAGGAATGGGAGATGCTTGTGGACAGATTGAGTCAACCCTCTATCTTCTGAGGCAATCCAATGGGATAGAGGCAGAGGGAAACCCTGGCTTCTCATTGGGAGAATGACCCACTTACCTGGAATTGCAGGCATATAGTGGTTCTTACCTGGGGGCGATTTTGGTATTTTTTTTTGGGGGGGGGGGGACATTTGGCCATGTGTGGAGACCTTTTTGGTTGTCCCGCCTGGAGGGGGATGGTACTATTAGCATCCAGAAGGCAGAAATTTAGCAGCATCCCACAATGCACAGGGAAGCCCTTTACAATTAAGGAATTATTCAGCCCCCAAAAGTCACTAGTGCCGAGGCTGAGGGCAAGGATGTGAATTGACCTGAGTTACTCTCTCCCCATTTATACCAACTGCCCACTGCTGGGTACCTAGATGGAGTCCAATGTCATCTGATAATCATTCATTTGCCCATGGTGGCTGTGATGGGGAATCAGAATTAATTTTGGACTCTTTTGGACAATTCTTTGGTCATCAAAACCATCGTTATGACTAGGGGTGGAGTCTAGACCAGGGATAAGTGAGCACTCAGTGGTTGCACCAAAGGATGAGCTGGCCTCTCGGAGGCTCAGCTTTGTCAGAGGCCAAGGGGCAGAGGGAGCTGGAGAGACACAGGGCTTTGGTTGGCCCATGTAGACCTCTCATCACCTCTTCCTTATTTTCCATTTTTGTTTAATTTCTTTTGAATAAGAATTATATTCCCATGTTTCAAATCTGGAAACAATATACGAGGAGACGGTGAAAAGTCTCCCCCACCCCGTCCTAGCCTCCCATTTGCACCCAATGGGGATACAGCAGCAAACAGTACAGATGAGGCCCTTGTCCCTCCTCCCAGAACCTTCTCCTGGGGAGACAAAGGCAACCAGGAAACCCCTCCTAGATATATTTGAGGTGAATTCTTCTACTCAAATTTGTTGCACATATGAGCAAATACATGTGTTATCTCCTGCTTTTTTTTTTCTTTCTTTTTTTTTTTCTTTTCTCAAGTGGTAAGATACTAGACGCACAGTTCTGCAGGTTGGGGTTGTTTTTTGGCTAGCTGGTTGGTTGATTTTCGGCTTAACAACTAATTGAAAATCTTTCCATTTCAACACTGAAGGTTTTAACCTCACTTTTTTTTTTTTTTTTTTTTACACCAGTTGAATTGTGTTCCATTATGTGGCTATACCACAACTATTTAACCACATCCCTATTAACATGCCTGTATTTTCTCATGTCCCTCTGTTTCCACTTCAAGGGGAATACCTAGTAGTTACATTACCGTATTGAAGATGCAACTTTCTTGTCCCTGGAAGTCTTTGCTACTGAGCCTCCTGTAAATGTAGTTTATCTAATTCATAGGAAGGAAAATGGAAGCCACCGGCCTTCTTTCCCTCAGGCCCTCCTCACTTCAGTTAGCTCTGAGAGAACAGGCCGAAGGGTCTCCACTGTGACCTGGGCCCTCCCTGTTCTAGCTTCAGATCACACCTCTCACTTCATCCATCAACTCCTTCAACACACCCCGCTCCTTGCCCCTTCAGGGTCTCCCTAATACTCATAAAGTTGAGTCCTTCTCTTCTCCCAGGCCTCAGCCTAACACCCTCTCCTCAGAGAGGGCTTTCCCACCCAAATACCCTATGACACTCCATGATACCCTTCCCAGCCCCAACCTCACTATTCCTGCCACTGTCAACTTGGTCCCCACATCATCTTTTTCTGCCCCTTGTTGTTGTTGTTGTTTTTTTCCTGTCACTTCATACAAAATACAATTTTTAAAAATTACTTGGAGGGTTACTTATTTATTTCTTCCTCCCCAGGAGAATGTGCAGACATTTGTGTGGAGAAAGGGCAGGGCTCTTGTCTGTCCCGTCCCCAACTAGGTCTCCAGCACCTCCGGCAGTGCCGTGCCCTCAGGGGACAGACAGTATATATTTGTTGAATGAATAATATTTTGCTAATATTTGCAGAGATGACTCTGCTGGTCCATCACCAATAAGCTGTGAGCTTTGAATTATGTTTCCAACAACACCTTGTAGAGTGAAGTAAGACGGGACTTGAGAGTTGTGAGGCTCAAGGCTTTTACCACCCACCCTCTGTGTGACCTTGGCCAAGCTATTTAACCTCTAGGCCACAGTCTCCTTACCTGTAAAATGAGAGGTATATGGATTCAGTCTCTACGGTTTTTCTAGCTCTAACAGTCTACGAAGCAAGTAAATATGGTTGATAGCAATACTGTATACAATAGGATATTATTGGCAATAAAAAGGAACAAAGTACTAATGTATGCCACAATGTGGATGACCCTTGAAAACATGCTAAGTGAAAGAAGCCAGTCACAAAGGACCACAGATTTTGTGAGTCCATGTGAATGAGATGTCCAGAATAGGGAAACCCATAGAGACAGGAAGTACAATAGATAGTGGTAGCCAGGGACTGGGGAGGGAAGTGGGGAGAGAGAAGGGAGAATTATAGTTAGGAGGTAAAAGGCTTCTTTCTGAAGTTACAAAAATGTTCTCAAATTGATTGTGGAGATGGTTGAATACTCTGAATGTAAAAAAACACACACACACAACTGAATTGTTCACATTAAGTGGGTGAATTGTATGGTATGTGAGTTTAATCTCAATAAAGCATTTAAGCCAAAACAGGTTTGGCTCAGTGGATTGAGCGTCGGTCGCGGACTGAAAGGTCCCAGATTCGATTCCGGTCAAGAGCATGTACATTGGTTGTGGGCACATCCCCAGTAGGAGTTGTGCAGCAGGCAGCTGGTCAATGTTTCTCTCTCGCCGATGTTTCTAGCTCTCTATCCCTCTCCCTTCCTCTCTGTAAAAAATCAATAAAATATATATTAAATAAATAAATAAATAAGTAAAATATTTAAGTACATTCCCCGAGGTTTCATTTATGGTTTTCAGAGAGCTTGCTATCAATTTCTCAGCATAATCCTGTGTATTTAAGAGAGAACAAAAGAGGGAGATAACCATTTATTGCAGCTGTAAGGTGCCAGGCAGCGAGCATCCAAGTTTCTATCTTGGTATAGATAGTGTCAAATTAGAGAGTAGGCTCCATAATCAAACTGTATGGGTTTAAATTCTGGCTCGGCTGTGGTGTTAGCTGTGTGATCCCGGGCATAGTGTTTACCTCTGTTTCCTTAGCTATAATGATAGAACCTGCTTCATGGGGTTATGAGGATGAGGTGATCCAGGGCACGGGAAGTGCCCATGACTAACTGTCGTTTTCTCTGTGCTTAGGTGACTTCATCGCTCCTCACAGCCTCCCCGGAGGAAGGTGGCACTGCCCTGTCCTACAGGTGAGAAGACTTAACACTTGGTGACAGCATGATTTATCCATTGTGATACTTATAATCAGGGGTAAAACCATGACCCAGGTCTAAGCATTCCAAGCATCCTGCTTTATCCTCCCTTTCATAAAACATTTGTCCAAATGAAGCTGTACTCACTCCCCAAATAGACTCCCTTGTGTTCAGGGTCAGACACATGCAAGATGGCGGTGGTCATCCATGACCCTTTTGTAGCCATAGCACACGAGTGACGTTAGTCCCTGGGACTTTTTTTTTCCATCGAGCATCTCCATTTGTAGGTATTTAATTGAACACATCAAAGGTGCAACAGAAACCCAAGGGGCAAATCCTTTGAGGCAATCAAAGAAGATATTTTCTTAAAATAGACTTTATCTTTCAGAGCAGTGTTAGGTTCACAGCAAAATCGAGCGGACAGTACAGAGATTTCCCATATACTCCCTGCCCCGCAAATGCATAGCCTCCACCACGGTCAACATTCCCCACCAGAGTGGTGCATTTGTCATGACTGATGGACCTGCACTGACACATTGTTGTCACCTAGGAAGATTTTTATAAGGTTCTCGATTTCCTAGTTCATTTCTGTTCTCTGCCTTAAATAGTTCCCATTCATCTTGCTGTGGGGTGAGCGAGGTGACTTTGCCGTCTGTGGAGTCCCCTTCTGGCTGTGTGAAGGCCTCACAGAGCACGAGCCAGCGCCGCTTGGCACATGAGCCAGTTCTCAGCCCTGAGCCCCAGCCCCAGGGTTGTTACACTGGTGAGAGTTCGTCTCAAGAGTTTCCTTTGTAAATATTATTTCTCCAGGATATCCAAGTTTCATAGCTCATTTTCACTGAATTTCTTTCTGGCTAAGTTTCCTGAACATATCGATATATCCTTCTGCAAGCAGGGCTGGCAGGAAGGAGTAACACCCAGCCCGATGTAACCGACTAGGTGTCCAGCTCCCTAGTGTGACTTCATTCCAGTTTTCCAAGCCTACATCCTCCTGCAGTTGCTGCCAAGGAAGAGTGGGAAGGAGAGAGCATGAGAAAGGGGCTCAGAAAGAAAGAGGAGCTGGCAACACAGCCTGGCTGTAGCCAACTGGAGCTCCTCCCTCTTGGAGCCAAGGGGAAAGCCATTCAGTTAACACGTACTCATTAACCTTGTGTGGTGTGCTGGGAACTGAGCTCAATGCCAGACAATAGCCCTGCCTCAGGAGCTGATG